TTCCTGATGCACATCATTTATTTTTCAGATCGGATTCAAAATGGCTGTAAGGCGGCCATTTTGTTTTAATGAATGGGCTTCTAGACTCATATCTCCGACTTGTTTTGACTGATAATATTTTCAAATTTTAAATATTCATTATACATCATGTCATAGATATATTGGTTTGACTATCCTATTCAAAATGGCCGAATGGTGGTCATTTTTGTGCTAAAAAATCATCAAATATCAAGCATTTATGGCTGGATTTCGTTCAAACTTGGTACATACATTAGACATTAAGGGTTCCTGATGCTTGTCATTATAATTTTCAGATTGGATTCAAAATGGCTGACTGGCAGCCATTTTGTTTTAATGATTGGGCTTCTAGAGCCATATCTCTTAAATGCTTTGACTTATTACATTTAAATTTTATATATTCGTTATACATCATGTTATATATATACATGTATTCAAAATAGCTGACTGATGCCATATTGATAATGATATACACATTACATGTTTTTTGATTTGATTCAGTATGGCAGACTGGCAGCCATATTGATAATGATATACACATTACATGTTTTTTGTTTTTTGATTTGATTCAGTATGGCAGACTGGCAGCCATATTGATAATGATATACACATTACATGTTTTTTGTTTTTTGATTTGATTCAGTATGGCAGACTGGCAGCCATATTGATAATGATATACACATTACGTGTTTTTTGTTTTGATTCAGTATGGCAGACTGACAGCCATATTGACAATGGTTTACATATGCATGTTGTTTTTTTCATTTTGATGAAAACCAACTGTTTACTAGTATGTCTTGGTCAACTTTATTAAAACTTGATGGGCTACTGATGCACATAATTTGTGTGTGCGACTTTATTCAAAATGGTTGTTTGAACGAATTTTGAAACAGGGACTTACCGGTATAATTTGGTCCCCGCCTGTCCATCCGAAGTCGTATTTAAGAACCCTGTGGACTAAATCTGTTCATTCTTTGCATATGTGCTAGTACTTTATCTCGGACATATGCACATAATGGTTTACTGATTCAATCCAAGATCGCTGACTGGCAGCCATTTTGTTTTTTGAAAATGTGGTATCTTATACATGCTTTGTCAGTTTTTGTTTAAATTTGGTACATATGTTAACCATGTTAAGATATATCTCTATGGTGATTTGTTTTCCAAACGGATCAATGATGGCCGATGTACTGTCAGCCATTTTGTTTTTTAAATGTGGTATTTTATGCATGCTTTGTCAGTTTTTGTTCAAATTTGATACATACATTGTACATTTTATATTACATGTCCATTACAATTTGTTTTACAATTGGATCAAAGATGGTTAACTGGTGGCCTTCTTGCTTTTTGACCACCTACTATAATATCTCCAAGGCTTATATGAATCATTTTCATTTATTTTTGGAACATACATCAAAAATATAAGAATACATGCTCATGACAGTTTGTTCCATAATCAGACCAAAGATGGTCGACTGGCATCCATCTTGGTTTTTTGTAAACGTGGTATCTTTGACAGGATTTGTTGGTTTTTGTTTAAATTTGATACAAATTTTACACATGTTGAAATCTTGTTTTTTAAAATGTAATGTTGACATGTTTTTTTTTTCTTCAAATTTTCTCTTCTTTACATGAGCCTGGACAAAGAAAAATCAGTTTGGATACATACAATAGCATATACTGTCAGTTTCATTACTGACCATTTATTTGATTTTGGAAGAGTCATTTAATTCATCTAATTTCTGTTAATACTAGACCAGCCAATTATTTGCTCTCAATTACAAACTATGCTTTTGATGCATATTACTTCATTTTTGGCATGAAAACATTTCCCCTGATTCCAATAGGGACTATGTCATTAACAATGACATGTTTTTTTGAACCATTTCCAGTGCAATGCTTTTGGCTGACACATACATGTAGTGGTGTTTCTATATGTTTTTTGTCATCAACCATTTCTCCAGTGTGCCTGGTCCAGTTTATTCAAACATGGTGTTGTCTGTACTCATGCAGGAATCTGATGCACATCATATATTTTCATGGTTTGATTCAAAATTCATTTGAATATTTCTTGTGATCGGATTCAGTATTTATGTAGGTTCACTCCTCTAATATTTGAATGCACATATACATATCATATGATTTTTATTTTATACATTAAACATATCCGCATTATTTATTGGTGGTATCTACAGCCATGTATTTTGAGAACTGTGTGTTGGTATTACATACTGTGTGTTGGTATTACATACTGTGTGTTGGTATTACATACTGTGTGTTGGTATTACATACTGTGTCATAATACCACCATCTGTGTGTGTCTGTTCATGTGGTGTTATGACTGACTGTTGTCTGTTCATGTGGTGTTATGACTGACTGTTGTCTGTTCATGTGGTGTTATGACTGACTGTTGTC